CGCCTACTCGGAAGGCTGAGGCGGAAGGATCGCCGGAGCCCTGCAGGTCGAGGCTGCGGTGGCTGGGAGCAGCCACTGCACTCCAGTCTGGGCGACAGAGTGAGACTCCAACTTAAAAAAAAAAAAAGGAAGGACACGTTGACTGAATGAAAAACAAAAGCAATAGGAGTTTGTTTTAATGAGTTTATGTTATTAAGGAGTATTGACCTGATCAATACCTAGTCCTTTTCACATATATAATAATAGTATTTCATACCCAAAAAAAGGTATGCGCTAAGGTGTTTCAGCTGTGAACTGTATTGTTTGAGAGTTGGTTTTTGGTTTTTTTGTTTTTTGAGTTGGAGGCTCACTCTGTCACCCAGACTGGAATGCAATGGCCGCTCCCAGCCACCGCAGCCTCGATCCTCTGGGCTCTGGCGATCCTTCCGCCTCAGCCTTCCAGTAGCTGGAACTACAGGCGCGCACTACCACGCCTGGCTCATTTTTCTGATTTGTTGTAGAGATGAGGTCTTGCCAAGTTGCCCAGGCGGGTCTCGAACCTGTGGGCTCAGGCAATTCACTTACCTTGGCCCCCCAAAGCACGGTATTACAGGCTGAGCCATCGAGCCAGCCTGCAAAGTATTAATGGACTAAATACCTTTTTTTATTTTTTTTGAGTCAGACTCTCACTTTGTCACCCAAGCCGAAGTGCAGTGGCACTCTCCTGGCCACTGCAGCCTCAGCCTGCCGGGCTCCGGCGATCCTTCTGCCTCAGCCTTCCAAGTAGCTGGAACTACAGTCACGCGCCACCATGCCTGGCTAATTTTTTTTATTTTCTATTTTAGAGATGAGGTCTCGCCAAGTTGCCCCAGCTGGACTTAAACCTGTGGGCTCAGCAGTCCTCTCACCTCTGCCTCCCAAAGTTCTGGGATTTCAGGCATGAGCCACTGCGCCCAGCTTGACGAAATATTTTAAGTGCTGCTGTATAAATTAGACCTCTTGCATTATGTGTGACCATGAGAGTCCCAGTGAAATGGGATCTTATTCCTTAAATCATAGCTCTGGTTTCTGTGTTTCTTGACATTATTGCAGACAGTGTCCCAGCAGGGCCTGGCAACCAAACAGTCGAGGCTTCCAACACCACTGTGAAACCATCGGCGACTTCAACTACCGAAGTCTCTGGCAATACCACAGCCTCCACCACGAAGTCCACAGCAACGTCTAAAATGACAACGCCTGCACTGGTCCCAACAAATATGACTTCTACAGCCAAACCGAGTATTCCACAAAACACAACTCAGGTGTCAACATCCACGATAGCCACAGCCCACAATAGTTCGGTGACATCTGTTTCCTCGTCAGTAACAAGTATGTATTAAGACTGACCCCTTCTTCCTGTGCTGCCTGTGGTTGTTAAATGCCACATTTAGATCATCATTCTGTTTTGCAGAAATAACATAGAAACGCTCTATGCCTGGGTTTCCCTTCATTCCCAGTTCAGTGCGCTTACACAGAAAATCAAAGTTTTAGTGGTGGTGTTAAGTAAAAGAACTAAAGCCTCTTTTTTGTTTTCTTCTAGTCACAGCAACCATTCATTCTAAAAGTAAAGGATCAAAATTTGACACTGGGAGCTTCGTTGGTGGCATCGTATTAACCCTGGGTGTTTTATCAGTTCTTTACGTTGGATGCAAAATGTATTACTCAAGAAGAGGCATTCGGTATAGAACCATGTAAGTTTTGATTGTCCAGAACACTACAAAAGTTATCTCTGTATATCTTTAATTATAATTCCTGTATTTATGAGTTACATATTCACGTTATCCCTCTTGACACAAAGCAGATTTTTTACATACAGGCTTGTGATTATAAATATTTGCACATGAAAATGGATGTATGTTCTTAGGGAAATGTTTTTATTTTACTAGCGCCAAACGTATTTTACCAGAGACCAAAGCTTACCCAACCCTTTACGCTTGCTTCTACCACGAATTATACCACATCTCAGCAGGCTGTTAGCCTAGTTTGTCTTGGGTCTGCTGTGGTACTAATTTGCACCCTTGGCAAAAACATTTTTTTTTATTTTCCTTGTCAAAGACAAATAAGCTTTAAAAATTTGTCTGACAGCCTCATTTTCCCTGCTTATTTGAATGAGAGACTAGTATAAATTATATACGTTATCATGTTATCGGTTGCAAAATTGTCTTTTTAGATGAGCATTCTCAGTGTGTAGCTCTTTCATGTTGCTCCAGTTGTCCTTTTACTTTTTAGAGCGGGGTCTTGCTGCATTGCCCAGGCTGCAGTGCAGTGGTGGCGATCATAGCTCACCTTGAACTCCTGGGCTCACGCTGTCCTCTCGCCTCAGTCTCCTGAGGACTACAGGCACACGCCACCACGCCCAGCTTGTTTTGAATATGATACGTTGTCGTAGTTCAGGCTGACAGAACGAATTACTATAGAACTGGGCGCCTGACACATCAAACATTTAATCCCCACACTTCTGGAGGCTGGAAGTCTGCAGTCAGGTGCCCACACGGTCAAGTTCCGGCAAGGGCCTTGTTCCAGGTCAGAGACCCCCGTCGTATCAGCATATATTCCCACACAGCCGAAAGAAGGCTCGCCTGCTCCCTGTCCTCCTACCGGTACTAATCCCATGCAGGAGGGCTGCACCCTCATGACCTAGTTGCCTCCACAAGGTCCCACCTCAAAACACTGTCAAATCGGGCTTAGGGTTTCAGCCTGCGAATTTGGGGGGGGCAAAAGCATGCAGTCCCTGGCATATGTGCAAGAGCTGATTCATTCACTTGACTGACACGTATAAATATCATAAAATAGATTTCCATTTTCTCAGGTTTGCTCTGTGGTTTAACACACGGAGTCTCCACTTCAAAAACATTTGGAACATGCTAGAATGGATAAAACAGTTTACTACAAGATTTCTCTAAGCCTTTATTTGCTGATGTGCATGATGATTTTTCCAGGAGGGAATATAGCATAAGAGTTACTCAGATTTTTCACCGAAATATGTGTTGATTGAATAATCCCTCCCCCACCTTTTTCAAGGGAAACAGTATTATCTGTCTCTTGTGTAGAATACATTTTGGGAAATGTTGGAATAGGCCACTGGAGAGAATTTTCCAGTCTTGACACTAGATGTGATTCAATACATATATAAAGGCAAATCAAACTTCTTGGCAGATTTACAACAAATACTAAGAACATGAAAAACTCCCAAATTTTTAAATTTATTGGCATAAACTTCTAAGTAAATGTCACATTATAAATGAAAATGGGAACATTACTAATACATAAAAATAATAATTTTTAAAAATCAGATTTTTAAAAATTATGTCTGAATAGTTATTAATACCTTGTATATACTCATCATATTAACTTCCTTTTTTTTGAGTCAGAATCTCACTCTGTCGCCCAGGCTGGGGTATAGTGGCATGCTCATGGCCACCGCAGCCTGGGCTTCCTGGGCGCAGGCGATCCTTTCACCTCAGCCTTTCAAGTAGCTGGAACTACAGGCGTGCGCCACCATGCCCAGACATTTTTTTTTTTCGAGTCAGAGTCTCACTCCATCGCCCAGGCTGGAGTGCAGTGGCACATTCATGGCCACCCCAGTGTCAACCTGCCGGGCTCCAGCGATCCTTCCACCTTAACCTTGCAAGGAGCCGGAACTACAGGCGTGCGCTACCATGCCCGGCTCATTTTTGATTTGTTGTAGAGATGAGGTCTCGCCAAGTTGCCTGGGCTGGTCTCGAACCCACGGACTCCCAAAGCGCTGGTATTACAGGCTGAACTACCGAGCCTGGCCTCCATTTTTATTGTAAAGACGAGGTCTTGCCAAGTTGCCCAGGCTGGTCTCGAACCCCTGGACTCAGGCAATCCTCTCGCCTCTGCCTCCCAAAGTGTTGGGATTACAGGCGTGAACCACCATACCCGGCCACTATATTTCAATGAAAAGTGACCTTGCATATATTCAAGCACACTCTAAAAGAATATCAAGGTGGTGGGTATTTTATCAAATTAAAGTCATATCCAGAAACATTCTTTTTTAAGGTCAACACATAAAAGAGTACACACTAAATAGAGTTAGTGTAAAATGTTTTAAAATTTGAAATTTTCTGTTAAATCACAATATGGTTCTAGAAATATGTATCATGTTTTCTTGGTAAATTTCACCGACAAAACAGTAGGGAAGATTTTATTACAGTAAACTAAATGCCATTCTTTTTTTTTTTGAGTTGGAGTCTTACTCTGTCACCCAGACTGGAGGAGTGCAATGGCACGCTCCCGGCCACCGCAACCTTGAGCTGCTGGGCTCCGGCGATCCTTCCGCCTCAGCCTTCCAAGTAGCTGGAACTACAGGCGCGCGCTACCATGCCCAGCTAATTTTTTGATTTATTGTAGAGATGAGTTCTTGCCAAGTTGCCCAGGCAGGTCTCAAATCCGCGGGCTCAGGCAATCCACTCACCTCGGCCTCCCAAAGTGTGGGATTACAGGCTGAGCCACCAAGCCTGGCCCATTCATTTTTTATGATGCCAGTATTTATTGCTATGGTTGAGGCTATTAAATAGTGATGCAAATAAAATGTACTGTTTTTCATTTTAGTGAGGTACATTCAAGGTAGCATGGCCGTAGACTGTGTTTTGCATTTTAAACATAATTAAACTGTAACTACTAAGTATGTAATTTTAATGTTGTAAGCTAATTGGTTTTCTCACATGTAACGACCGGGTGGCACTATATGCCTTACAGAATAAGCACAAGTTCAGAATCCCCATAGGGCACCGTGCTGGCAGGAGCACAGACGTTGGAGGTTTAACTCTAATGAGAGGTCTTATACTCACATAGGAGGCAGTGGTTAATGAAAATAACATATTTAGACAGGTCTGAATTCACACTTTTTTTCTTCATATTTTAGCATCTCTGCAATGAGGATGCATCTTATAGTCTATAGCATGAGAAAGCACTGTTCCATAGTTTAACTGACTATTTTTTTTATTGCTACATTAAAAAAAGGTATATTGTAAAGCCAGTAGTTATTTTGAAGCTATAAAAAATTGCCTTCTGGCCAGGCTTGGTGGCTCAGCTTGTCATCGCAGCACTTTGGGAGGCCGAGGCAAGTGGATTGCCTGAGCCCACGGGTTTGAGACCAGCCCGGGCAACTTGATGAGACTTCATCTCTACAATAAAAAATGAGCCAAGCATGGTAGCGCATGCCTGTAGTTCCGGCTACTTGGAAGGCTGAGGCAGAAGGATCGCCAGAGCCCAGCAGGTCAATGCTAGGGTGGCTGTGAGCATGCTACTGTGCTCCAGCCTGGGTGACAGAGTGAGACTCCAACTCAAAAAAAAAAAACC